GCTGATGAGGTGTCAAAATTAAAATTTGACACCGGTGTCAAAGGATCCTACCTCTATATATATATATATGAAATTAATAACTAACATCCTTAACAATTATAAAACTAATAAAGAATACAAAAGTGCAATCATAACATAATTTGGAAAAAAAATCCCTCCACATAAACAACCCTACTCCAAATTCTAAACTATTTCCTCCAAAAATCACAAAATTAAAGGAGGTCAAATGGCGCAATGGACCTAACAGGCGTGGCGAGGGGTAGCTCGCATGAAGGACCCACGTTTAAGCTGTCTTTATGAACCTTAACGTCATCACAGACGTGCCATGCAGCTATCGCCAACCTCTCTCTCCCCTCAAAACTCCAGCTTTTTTTGTTTTTTGTTTTATATATAAGACAAAAAAATAGATAGTAAACTACTAAAGTTTAATAAATTGATGAATCAAAGTGCTAGGAAAATAATTAATCAAAAAATTTGATTAATTAAGGAGACCGACCATTATTAATAATTAGCGGATTAAGACCAAGGGTAACTGAAGAAGCATGACAAGTGGATAAATGTGGAGAGGTTGCGTGGGGAAAAGGGTAGGTGCCAATCTACACATAACGTAAATCCTGCAATAGCCAAGTGTCCAACGACTACAATTTTATATTTGTTCCACAAACAAAACATATACTTCGATCGACAATAATTCGTCGTGAGAGCAACTTCGAGGCACGACATCAAATAAACTTGTCGAATAATTAACTAATAATATATCTTAATAATATATCTAATGCCACGTATATTAAGTTAATTTAAATATTTACTCATAATTCAACGTGATATTTATATTTAGAGTAAACTTTAAATATATTTCAAGTGGTTTATTTTAAGTTAATTATTCAATCTTTTTTTTTTTTGGTATCCTAATCTTTTTATTATTTACTTATGTAGTTTTCTTTTTATCTAAACGTAGTTTAAAATTATATAAATCATTAATTTACCTTGATAAACAGTAAATGAAAAACCATATCCTCCTCCATTCCTCAACTATATCTTATATCCAAACATTAAATTATAAATTTATGTGACCTTAAAGTTTGAAATCGTTGAAAATAAGATAGAAGGATATTTTGATATATTCTAATTTATAAATAATAATTTAAATAAATTACGACAAAAAATTACAAGAGAACTGTGTATAAAAAAAACTAGAAAATAAACGATTTTAAATAGATCATATATCTGAAGTTTACCCCAATATTTATGTTCATTTATATATACTAAATTAGAATTTCTTTTAAAAAAAATTGATCTCTTATTAATATATATATATTTTTAAATCGCACATAATTTTCATTCTATTATTTTAGTTTAAAATATTTTTAATTAATTATGCATTTTTGAAATTTTAGTATAATTTTTAAGCTTATAGTTTGAGCTTTTATTTAAAATATTATATATATATTTTTTAAATTTATTTCCAATTTTACCTGAATTTAGAAATATCTGCATGATTACAATTATATATATATATATATATATATATATATATATATATATATATTTGGTAGACACAATTTTATATATTATTATTATTATTATTATTATTATTATTATATCTTAATTTTAAGTCAAAATAATATAAAAATAACGAGAGACGGAGATTAATGATTAGGATATCGTTTAGCATTAAAAGTCGGACAAACCTAATAATAAGTAGCCCTTAGTTGAAATTATGAAGTGCATAAAATATGGGAAGTTTTCTCTTCTTAAGAAAAGGTATAATTAAGGTTAAAATACAAGGGATTCTTCTAACATTTGGTCATTTTTAGAAAATCTAGATGTGATTTAAAATTTAACAACTTACATAGTCTCTAAATTAACTAAATCGTATAATGTATGCATAAAATTAGACTAATACATGTGTATGTCTAGAAACTCCGTATAAAGAGTTAATATGCATGCTGGGATAAATTGAAAGAGTCAGATTATTAAGTTTTGAATTGTTAGAAGCTTTTTATTTTATTTTATTTCATGCATAGTTGAATGGTATTTATTATTAGGGTTCACTTTTTCTACAGTTACTGCAGATAAGTTATCTGCAGTAAACCTAATACGACGTCGTTTTAGGCGAAAATCATGGTGTTTTTATAATTTTAATTTATTTTTGAGTTATAATAGTCTTTATATTTATAATTTTTTAAGATTTCAATACCAAAACAACGTCGTTTTAGGAATAAATGCAGATAACTTATCTGCAATAACTGCAGAAACATTTATCCCTTATTATTATTGTTTTTGTCATCTTAATTTCAAACATGATGTTAGAAAGTGATATTGTTTTATATGAGAAAAATATATATTTTTATCAATGATATATTCTTGAAAGTGATCATTGAGAAGATCAATACCAAGATTATAATAATTTAACAAGCTATCCGCAATCTATCAACATAAGTAAGCGCATTATAATATTTATTGTATTAATATAATGTCTAAGGGCAGCTATCCTGCATTCTTAGCCACTAATTAGAAATCTTATCAGAATTGCTAACCATGTATTGAAATCGTATCATTTTTTACGAGAAAGTAGTTAAATTAGTTTATGAAAAATATAACTCTAGTTATATTACATCTTAAAAGATAGAACTTAATACATAAATCCTAAAATATTTATTTTGTCCGTGAAATAATTATTGAGTTAATAGTATTGGGGATTAATTTAACTTTAAGGGCCTATCTAACATTTTTATCTTTTAAAATTATAGGCAGATTATACTTACAACCTATTTACGTTTACAACCTCTTATAATCATATTTTAACCGTTGATTTCTGCCAATCAACGGTTATTATTTCACAAATCAAATTCATTAATTAATTATTAATTCGCAATAAATGATAACCGTTGATTGATGAAAATCAACCGTTAAAATATGATCGTAAGAAGTTGTAAACAAAAATAGATTATAAGTATGATCTCCCTCTTAACATTAATATATAACCGATAATACTTATTCCAAAGACAGAATTGGGAATTTATACATTTTTATTTTTATTTTGCATTCCTTAGGTAACTTATTTATTATAAAAAAAACGTGGAAACATATTGGGGAAAAGAACTTGAAAGTTGAAATAGTAACCTCAACGGATTATTTTAGCAGTGGATGCACAATCACAAGTTTAAATATTGTACTATTGAAGTTAATCAAGTTTAAATATTGTACTATTGAAGTTAAGTTATGGAAAAAAAAAATATCCAAAAAAAAAGTTATGAAAAAAATAATCCTTATAAGTATCTTAATTTCGGTATATCAATATATGCATAAATTATACAAAATCTCTTTATTGTGAACTTATACAAAATACCTTTTTGGTTTTATTTTATTAATTTTTATTATTATAATCTTTTTATCCCAACTCTAAAATAATGTCGTATTAGAACAACATAAAATGACTTTATTTTTAGTTAATGAACAAATATTAAACCTTATATAGAGAGAGGAGGGAAGGGGATATTTGCGACGGTCTAGGACAGGGTGGTACTAGTGATATTCTAGCGTGGGAGGTATATTATTTGACAATTTTCTGGATATTAAATATCATTGGATGGGTTAATTTTTATTGGCATTGAAAACACATTACACATTGTTCCACTTCTCGCGGAGTCATTTTCTCGTCAATACGAGTCAAGGGAATAGCCCTCTGTCCTATGATTTTCATATAAATTAAGGACACGACGAGTAAAAATATCCTTCTTAACTTTGAGTACGATGGGCTGATTATCTTTGATAAGGATCAATATCAACTTGAAGTTTTCTTCATAACTCATGGAACTTCTTTGCAGTGGCTCCGTTCCATGCCTCATTTCATGGGAAATCTTAAAGTGGCTCTATTTCGTTATATTCCATCCATATACTAATTCTATTCATTGAATATCCCTATCTTGGATGTCATTGAGATAAGAGATCTCCAATCCCAAATTTATCTACGAAGAGCATGTCTATTATATTAGTGTCTATACGTACTAATCAATAGGGGCTTATTGGTAATATTCATTTACATTAGCATCTTGCAATAATTAATTGAATACAAATGATATACAAACATTAGAAACAAACATCCATGCAACATATGAACAAATTTTTTGGCAAGAAATAAAAATAAAAAATTACAAATTTGATTCAAGGTCTATAATTATTTTACACAATTTTTTCCTTTTTTTTTGTATATAATAATTTAAAATAAAATAAAAAACTATAGAAAATTAAATATATTTTATTAAAAATATTTGACATATTGTTATTCTACTATAGTATTTTCTTAATTTCTCAATTCATCTAATAAAAATTATAAATATTTTGAAACAATGTCACAAGTTCAAAGGCTTAATTCATTAAGGTCTATGTGCAAATTTCTTATCCCTCCATGATGTATTCTTAACCGCTAAGGAGCCTCTTAGTCAATCGATTGCATCGCAACCTAGCTATAACTGGAGAATATATCTTTGGGATTAGGGGAATATTGAAGACTCAGTATATCCTTCTTAAAATTAGAAAAAATTAATACATCTAATTTTACTTCTTTCTCCCATTATTTATAGTTATTAACACCTGAATTCTCTCTCTATATATATATCTACCTCATATATATATATAGGGGCAGGATCCTTTGACACCAGTGTCAAACTTCAAGTTTGACACCACATCTGGACCCTTAATTTTAATAACATCTGACGGCTCTTAATATTCCCTGTCTAAATGTCACGTGACTCCTCTTTCTTTCTTTTTTCTTTTTTTCTTCTTCTTTTCTCTTCCCCCTCATCTGTTGCGCACCCTCTGCTCTTTCTTTCCCTTTACAAACCTTTTGATCTTCCTTACACTTCACCAGCGTTTGCCTTCCAAGTTTTAAGCTTTTGTGTGCAATTATTTCTTCAGCTGAACCTTCTTGGAGCCCCACTTCTCCATAGTTACCCTCGTTTCTCCTTTCTTACTGAACCCAAAATAGAAATCTTATCATGTGCTCAGCTGCAGAAGACAAGGAGGTAGTTTCAGTATTAGAAGACTGGGGAGGGCAGGAACTCGATGGACTTTCACCTTGCATGGTCGATACACAGGTACCGTGGTTTTATTTAATTTTACAAAAAAAAAATGTAGCTTGCATGCTATGTTCTGTATATCTTGGTGTGAGTGAAAAATAAGACTTAATCTAGTGCTTTCTCCCGAATACATAATGTCATGTAGTCTATAAAAAATGGAGAGCAATCACAAAGTATGGAAATAGGTTTTTTCATTATTATTTTTTATAGATATACGAAGTGATACAATTAATACATTGGTAGTACTCTGAAATTTTTTCTATTGAACTAGTACATGTAAGTCAAGAAGATATTGGGGACAGGCGGTGGGTCAACCTACTCACCTTTTTAATATACATGGGTAGTTTTGGGAAATATAGTAAGATGTTGGGAGGCATGCTATAAACGTAATGCAAATGAACAGATAAACTTTTCTCTCTACCTTAATATTGTTTGACAAATGCTTTTCTACAGATATAATTTCAAAAGTGTTTTTGTTCAACTTTTTTACTTCATGGCTGTATTTTTTGCATATCACTTTCTAATTAGTTGTTAAGTAAACAAATTTTAGTTGTCACACCATTTCTTTTTTGTATTAAAGACCAGTATATTTAATTTTTGTTAAAATACATTCTTTATCCTTTACATTTACCTGAATTTTCTAGTTCATTCGTAAAGTAAAAATAAAAATAAAATTATATTTCATTGTAAACTAGAAACTAATATGCATAAATTTTATATTAAATTCTAGTAAGAAAATAAATACCTGAATATCTAGTTCATTTTATATTATAACTGATTATGAGGTTTTATTCTTAACTGTTCATAATCAGTTTTATTTCTATATCTCTTGACAGGGGATGAAAGATCCACTTTTGGACTCCGATTCCAATATTTTCTATATGAATGTGGAGCCTAACATCACTTCGGACAAAATATTGGTAACAGATTCTATCCTACCAGTTGATATGCCACAATCTTCTAATGTTGATGCAGTTATTGTTGAACCTTATGTTGGAATGGAATTTGAATCATTTAAAAGAGTTGAACATTTTTATACATTATTTGCTAAAGCAAAGGGGTTTGGGATCCGTATTCGCTCTAGTAAAAAAAATTACGGACTTTTTGTATGTTGTAAGCACGGTGAAAATAGCAAGAAAGGCTGTAACATGGGAGATGCTAAGAAAAAGTCTTCAACTATTCGCTCGGGATGTAAAGCATCACTTTCTGTGACAAAGGAAAAGAATCGAGACATATGGGTTATCAAATCTTTTGACAACAATCATAATCATATCATGGCTAGTCCTAAGAGTGTGTCTTATTTGAGGTGTCATAAAAAAATGAATGGTGCTGCAAGAAGACTTGTTGAACAGTTTAATGAAGAAGGTTTGCCTACCGGAAAGGTTGCTGCAATGTTTAATGGCAGCGATTTAGCTTTTTCTAATCGGGATTGTTGGAATCATTTGAGAAATCTTCGAAGGAAGAATTTGGATGTTGGAGATGCATTAGCTGTTTTTAATTACTGCAAACAAAAGCAAGCTCAAAATTCTGATTTTTTCTATTCAATACAATGTGATGCTGATGATAGAATGATAAACTTCTTTTGGGTGGATGCTAGATCAAGGTACGCTTATCAACAGTTTGGAGATGTAATTACTTTTGATACCACATATAGAACCAACAAATATAGCATGCCGTTTGCCCCATTTACTGGATTAAACCATCATCTTCAATCAATTTTATTTGGTTGTGCCTTATTACAAGATGAAACCGAGAAATCTTTTACATGGTTATTTGAAACTTGGCTTGAGGCAATGAATGGAAAAAAGCCAGTTTCTATAATAACTGATCAAGATTTAGCTATTGGAGCTGCTGTGGCCAAGGTATTTCCAGAAACTCGTCATCGTTTGTGCTTGTGGCACATTAGAAAGAAGTTTCCTGAAAAGCTTGCACACATATATCACAAGAATTCTACATTCAAGCGTGAGCTGAAAAGGTGTATTCGAGAATCACCAACCATCAAAGAATTTGAAAATGAATGGAAAAATATAATGGTTACATACGATTTGCAGAAAAATGTATGGCTTCAAAGATTATTTGAAATTAGAGAGTCGTGGATACCGGTATATAATAGAAGCATATTTTTTGCCGGTATGAATACTACGCAAAGAAGTGAGAGCATCAATTCTTTTTTTGACTCCTTTGTTAATGCAACCACAACACTGCGAGACTTTGTAGTAAAATTTGAGAAGGCAATCAACAACCGCTATGAGGCTGAAAAAAGAGAGGACTTTGAGTCCAGACATAAATCACGCAGTTTGAGTATTGGCTCAAAAATTGAAGAGCACGCTGCGTCAATCTATACCAGAAATGTGTTTCGTAAGTTTCAGAATGAGCTTATTAGAGTCAACCATTTTATAAAGGAGAAGATTGAGAAAAATGGTTCACAATGTAAGTATCAAATTTCTAATTGTTTCGATACTCGGGATAACTTCATTGTTGATATAAATTTAGAGTCAAAGGATGCTTCATGTGGCTGTCAACTTTTTGAATTTATGGGAATCATATGTAGACACATATTGGTAATCTTTCAAGCAAAAAATATTATTCAAATTCCTAGCCACTATATCATGCAACGTTGGACTAAAGAAGCCAATAAATGCATTGAGGCAGACGATATTGATATCTCAAATCATGATTCAGACATTTTGAGAAGTTTGCATGTGCAACGTCAATTTAGCAGACTTTCTGATTTGGCTAAAAGATCAGAATATGCGTACAAGTATATTGTGACAGAACTTGATCGTATTTATGACGTGGCCAGCACTATGAAGACAAAAATGCTTGATGTCAATGAAGCTCCTATAGAGTCTAGTCAGCAAAATTTGATATGTGACATAGCATATGATGATTCAAATTTCAATATCAAGGATCCATACATATCACAAACAAAAGGTAGAAAAAGGAAGGATTCTGACAAATAGGCTTTAACAGGAAGGTACAAAGGTGGTCTTGAATTATCAATAAATAAGTCATTGATTAAAAGGAGAGCATGCAAATCCTGTGGAGAATATGGTCACTATCAATCAACTTGCAAAAAACAAAAGACAACCTAATGTAAGAATATTTTTTTAATGTTAGTGTTGGTATTTAAATCCTTCATTATTATATTTATATATTTTCATTTGGTTTCTCTGCCTATTTCTGATTTATTTATTTATTTTATTTATTTGCATTTGGATTCCAACATTCAGACTTCAGTTGAAACAGGTAACCCAAGATTTCTCTTTGTATGTACCTTTTAGTTTTTGACTTCTCTACTAAACTCTTTTTGTGCATAATTGGTATTTCATATTTGTGTAATATCCTCAATCAAGATTGAATTTTATTCTAAAGCTGCATGACTGTGAGGCATATAAGTTATTGGATTATATTGCCAATTTCATTTAAATTTTTCACAATTGAACTTGATGTAAAATCTACACTTGCCAATAACATTTATCATTTTTTAAACTTATGTTACCTTGTGATTTTGTATGTAGTTAAAAGCTTATGACATCAGTTCCTCTCTTCAAGTCTGCTCCTAATCTCACTGTTTCAAAGCTCTACTTAGGTGTGACCTCAATCACCATTCAAACAATTTCTTCTCTTTTTTTGAATTCAGCTCACACTTGAATTCTCACAGGAACCATGACTTTTGGGTAGCAGAACAATTTGCCAGAGTCACTTTGCCTTCTTCATGAAGCCTTTAATGTTGGCATAAAAATCTTTGATTCTGCAGAAATGTACCATCCTCCTTTATGAACTTTGCAATCTTTTTGGGTGGATTATGTTTTTGGAGAAGTCTTGTAATTTTTGGTGTTGTATCAATGTTTTATTTTTTAACTTTTGTAATTTAGGATTGTCGCTTTTTTGAATGGTTATTGTTGATTTTAATTGTACAATGATCTTGAATTCAAATGTGTTTGAACTGGTCAGTTCGAAGAACTTGGCCTAAAATCCAATGAACTGCACGCTGCATATCACATATCAGCAGCCATTCACATGTTACAAGCTTCAAAGGATATAATAATTAGAGTATATGGGTATATCTAAATGTGAGAATTTTTGCACTGTCCAAATGTCAAGTTTAATGTTAATGTAAATTATTCCTTGTTGTCGTGATGTTTGTTTAATAGAGTTGCAAAGAGAAACCAAATCAAAAGAAATGGATAAAAAAGAATGAGAAATGCAAAGAGTACATAATCACGTGGGTTTTGTTTGTATCAATTAAATTTTTAATTTTGCAATTGTTTCAAATACTCTAGAGCTGCAATGCTAAAAGACAATGCAAATGGTTGAACCAAAAAATATTAGCCATCGAGGTTAACAACTGGTAGAACCAGTTTGATGTATAATATTACAAGCAAACTCTTCACACCTATTCTGCTTTTCATCCAATGCAGTAGCAAATGGTCTCAGTTCAGAGAGACTCTTACCTAGCTGTGGTTCGACTTTTCTTAGAATCATCAAAACAACAATAACAAAAATTGAAGGAAAAAAAGGTAAGTTTATAACTCCAATCCAGAACAACCAAGCTCTTGCTTCATTCAAAGCTTTCCTCAAATATAAAACAATACATGTAGGCAACCCAGTTTTTAAAGGTAATTTTTTTGTCATGGGTTACACGAAACAAAAAAAAGGGAAACCCAATTTTTAATCAGCCTTTACGAAAGTCGAAGACCCAGTTTTTGTATGAACAAAATAAACAATATTATTGTGATTTAAGGGTAACCCTTTTTCTTCTTCTTATTCTTCTTTTTTGTCTCACTTCTTCGCCTTTTTTGAATCGAGCCCTTTTAAGGACAACCTTTGAATCGAGCTACGAACAAGAGAAAAAAGGATTACGAAGATTATAAGAAAAAGAAGTGAAGAAAACCATGTAAAAGGGTAATTGCACACAAAAGCTAACAATGGTGAGAGTGTAAACAGATGAGGGAGAAAATGAAAGAGAAAAAAAAGTTGAGAAAGAAAGAGCAGAGGGTGCGCAACAGATGAGGGGGAAGAGAAAAGAAGAAGAAAAAAAGAAAAAAGAAAGAAAGAGGAGTCACGTGACATTTAGACAGGGAATATTAAGAGCCGTCAGATGTTATTAAAATCAAGGGTCCAGATGTGGTGTCAAACTTAAAGTTTGACACCGGTGTATAAATATATATCCTGCCCCATATATATATATATATATATATATATATATATATATATATGGGCAGGATATTTTATATATATATATATATATGTCAAATTTTAATTTTGACACCTCATATAGAGCCGTTAGATCAAAAAAGAAGAACGACTGCACATGCTTGTAAATCAGAATCGTTGATCTTTTTTTGATCTAACGGCCCTCAGATGAGGTGTCAAAATTGAAATTTAACACCTCATCTGAGAGCCGTTAGATAAAAAAAGATCAACGACTGCACATGCTTGCAAATCAGAATCGTTGATCTTTTTTGATCTAACGGTTCTCAGATGAGGTGTCAAAATTAAAATTTGACACTGCACATGCTTGCAAATCAGAATCGTTGATCTTTTCTGATCTAACGGCTCTCAGATGAGATGTCAAAATTAAAATTTAACACTGGTGTCAAAGGATCCTACCATATATATATATATATATATATATATATATATATATATATATATATATTAGTAAAGGAGTAGATGCTCCTATAGCATGGAAGATATTATGCTTCTACAACTGGGCAGAAAATGTAGGAAATCTTAGATTTATGCGGAAGCGGTTTAGGACCTAGTACATTGGTATGCTTACCGAATCATCCTTGTTTCACAATTACCTCTCGGTGCGCAGGTCTCATGTAGAATCTTCCCTTGTAGGATTCCTCTTCACGAACAGCTCACCTCAGCGCCGCAGCACGAACAACCTCCTTGAAGCTGGACTGTGGCAGATCTTCCAAACTATCTCTCGAGGAGGAAGGGGAAGTGTGTGGGCACTGATTAGATTCAGAGCTTGCCTCTTTCTCACAAAAAGGACCTTTTTTAGGCTGATGACTTAAGAGGTACTATTTATATGGGTTCCAAAAAACCCTAGCTCATTGGGCTCTAGGTTCCTTGGGCTCTTCTCATACTAATAACCCATTTGGGCTTTAGTAAAAGAGCAAACCCAACAATCTCCCACTTGCTCTTTTGGATACAAACTTGAGTCGTAAAACCCAAGATCATGTAACCCATAAGTCATCATCTATCCGAAAAATACTCCATCCCTTGTCTCAAGCTAGCTTGGGGATCTACCATCTGTTATTAATCAAGGCTCTTGATAATCAACGAATGATTATCTAATTCGGTGCTACTCCACTAAAAGCCCGAACTTGAACTCCAAGATTAACAACACTTATAACATGAATATGCATCGCCCCTTTGTAGAATGTCTATAATTGATTGACAAGTTTTCTGTAACTCAATCAATTATTTATTCCCTTGACTATGATAGTTTCTTTAATGGATTACATGCACTGGCCAGTGTCTTTAATATCCAAGTACCGAAACATATCAAGGGGACATATCCTACAAATTCCATGTTGTTTATCTCATAAATACCGATAATCAAATAATCTCACTCCCAAAATACCGAGTTATTGGCCGTCAATAGATCGAACCTCACCCGTTGGTAAATCAAAGAATGAAAACTATTTGATTACCTATTTATAATAAACTCAAGATTAAGAGCAATCACATAACTATAGTTAACTGGAGATTTGATACCTTATGACAGAAAAACAACCTTAATCAAATCTCTCCTTGATCCTTTCAATGTGAATGTTAATTCACACCAATATTTTCCAATGATTCGGACAAAACCATTTCATAAAATATTGCAGCCTAAATAAAGTGCCCAACTTTATTTAACAGCTGTGAATCCATTCATCAATTGTGAGAACCTATGATCATGTCCTCCATGAACGTATCCATATGATCATATACTCCACAATTTGATCCGGACCTTTATGTTTGTAAATAGTGCGCAAAATAAATAAATAAAACATTATTTATGAAATTCAGAAAATTATTTTATTGTTTCATGGTCTTACTCCAAGAGCACAATGAAACCAGTAACTCACACTTGCTTAATGCAAGTCTGGGATCCTCTTAAGACCCAAAGAAGTAATATGCCTCTCGAACACAAGTTCAGGCAAACTCTTAGTAACTGGGTCTGCAAGATCCACCTCTAATGTTATCTGAGTTTAGTGAAAAACTCATAGCTCGAGGTTGATTTTCTTGAGTCAATATCCACTTGAAATAACTGAACTTTTGAAAACTCAGCTTTTCAAGACTCCCACTAGAATATACCAGCATATAATCTCTCGTTCTCCAAAGATACTTGAGTACATGCTTAACAATAATCTAGAATTCCTCTAGGTTCAAAATGGTACTATCTCACTACTCCCACTACGTGACAGATGTCTGGTTTAACGCCCAACATGATATGCGTGAGTCTACCTTTGCCAAAGCATAAGATATCTTGCTCATGCATTCTTCCTTCTTAGAAGTCTTTGGTCACTCCTTAGGAAGATGAATTCCACATCTGAGAATTATAATTCTTCTCTTAGAATTCTCATGTTGAATTTTGGCAAGAGTTTTGTCAATGTAAGTAGCCTGAGGTGATGCCAACAATTTATTCTTCCGGCCTCATAAGTGTTTTATACCAAGAATATAATTGGCTTCCCCAGTACTTCCATACCAAAACACTTAGCCAACTCTTTATGCTTGATATTACCTCCACATTGTTTCTAATAAGGAGCATATCATCTACATAAAATACCAGAAAAACTACTGTCTTCCGTTGTATCCTTTACATACAAATACACATCATTCATCAAGGTTCTCTCAAAATCAAAATTTTGATAACCTGATCAAAACTGATGTTTCAAGACCTGGATGCTTGCTTAAGTCTATGAAATAGACTTTCACAACTTGCCTACCGTGTGTT